AAGTTTTGTACTTGTGTTGTGACTGTACTTATTATATTAGTCACATATTGCAATTAGGCCTTCTATCACTAGTGAGACTTGAATTGTCAATGCACTAAATGCTTGCCATAAACGGTGAACTATTTTACTTGTCAGAAATTTATATTTTAATATTATTGTGTTTGAGTTAAAGCTAGAAGTTCTGATTTAACTTCTAGCTTTAACTCAAATTGTTTCTATTGGAGAGTTTAGAGTGGTGACTTGAGTACAATGGTAACCTGTGTTGGTTTGACAGTGTCTAAATTGTTTTTCTTCAATGATACCTCTATATAATAATAAACATGGTACTGGTTTATAATACATAGATCATGTTGAGGTGGATGTATGATTTTGTACTACAGAAGTAGGCTAAATTCCAACTAAATACTCAGAACTGGACTGGAATTTTGACCAGAAGCTACCTATAAATGAGTCAGAGCCAGTTTTTCAACTCAGTGACCTTGCTCACCTCAGGCCATAACTATCTTAGCATTAGCCAACCACTCCACACATTTATTGTCACTTATTAAGCATCAATTACATAAAATGCTATGTATGAGGTCAAAAGCCATCAATGACATTTTAACTGTGACCATTGCCATTATATAATTTCGCCTCTGGCAATTAAATAAGAAGGCACATTGTGACCTTTTTTGAATTACAAGTAGAACAATCACTTTCACCCTTAGTTTTTGAAAAAGTCTATCCAATATCCAGTCTGGAATTGAAAAATAATATTTTATTTAACCTTAAGTTGTTTGGTTTTTGATGAAGGTACCTGAATGAATTGCATGTACAATTCAAATTTCATTCACATATATTGAATTTACAATTGAGTTGTAATGGCATTTTGTTGAATCATGCTGTTGCATTAAAAGGAAAAGTCTCGTATAGAACATGTGATGGTTGGCAAAGCATGTCTTCCAGACTATCTCTATAATGATAAAGGGTTTACAATGGAAGAGAAACCATACAGTGCACTATATAGGTGGCAGAAACGACGTCGAATTGTTTAAGCTGAATAATAAATTAAGAAAAAAATGAAGGTGGATCTGTCAGCTCGAGTTAAACGCCATCAGTTAATGTAGAGTTAGTTTGAGAATTTACCAGTTTTACAGGAGGATTTTCAAAGTTTTCTGAAGACATAACTAAGAAAGCTGCTTCAGGAACTTCTCCAATGGCGAGGACTGGTTTTGAAGAAAGTAGGAACCTTATTGAGACTCTGCCCTTGGAAAAAAGGACTGGAGATATTCCATTTCTGGATGACTCTACCTTGGAACAACCTGTGCCTCAAAATGATGACAGTAAAGCTTATTTATCGGTTGTGACTAGAGTTGAATCAGCTTTAAGAAATTTCTCCATTGAGTGTCCAAATTTCCCTAACCAACAAATTGTCTATTACATCATCTGAGCTCTTTCTCTCCAGGCATTGTACTAACTGCAAAGACTTTGAAGCAAGAAGGCCATCTTGATGTTTAGATGAAAAATTCCCTCATGGCAGGTATGCCCACTTGAAGAAATGACAAGAAAGTATTTCTGCTCATTTGAAAGATACTAAATTTCAGGAACCAAATATTTCCATAAATGTAAATATAGATGGGATACCTTTATTTCAAGATTCTAGAAGATTACATGCTGATACCATTCTATTGCAATTGTGTATCCATGATGCTTCAAAAATAATTTGTGTAGGAGTGTACTTTCTGAATCTGGAAATTAAAATAAAATGCCTGATATAACATAACATAACATAGTGATTTCGGCGCTGACGAAGTGTAGGCCTGATGTGGCCTGTCGCCGATTTTTTTCCTTTTCGTGACTTGTTCACAGAAGATCTAAAATCGTGTCATTTGACCGGATCTCTTCATGACTGACGATAGTTTGAAATAGCTACTATACTTCCACCGGGTTCAATATGGTGCTAGGCATTTCAAATCTGAAGATATATTTTCCATAGCTTAATCTAGTCTGTTCTTGAACGCGTTCATACTTGGAGCGCCAACGATGTCATCGGGGAGGCTATTCCACATGTCGGTGATTCGAAGCGAGAAGAAATTTTATCGCGTGGAGAAGTTGCAGCGCAGTCTTTTTAATTTATAGCCGTGGCCACTGGTGTTGGTTCTTGTTTTAAATTCTAGTAATCCTTCGGGGACCTTCTATAAACTGTGAGTATACTTGTATACTTCAATTAGGTCCCCACGCAGACGTCGATAACTGAGACTTGGAAGCTTCATAATCTTCAATATTTCATCATAGGACTTACCCTTCAAGCCTTGAATTATTCTTGTTGCACGTCCTTGAACATTCTCTATTAAATTTCTGTCATTTTCAAATCTCGGTGACAACACAACGTTTCCAAACTCTAGATTCGGGCGCACGACAGCAACACAACTGCTTCATCGATTCTGCATCTAGGAACTCCTGTGAGCGTCTGATTAGTCAAAGAAGTTTGTTGGATGTGTTAGCTAGCGTTTCAACATGCTTAGAAAATTTCAGCTCCTTGTCGACATAAACTTCGAGATATTTTTCCACACTAGACTTTTCAATCATTACTAATTACATTTATTAGACAGACGACAGTTCTTAATCTGGGCTAAGTGCAACCGGGAGCATTTTATTTAAATTTTCTGTGAGAGGTGGCCACCCATGATACAACAAAGATTTATCAATGACGAAGGAAAGTTTTTGGTTTACGAAAGGTTTAAACGCAAACGTGGCCGCAGGCATGTTATAGGTATGGGAAAGATGGTGCACGCCACCCTTAATTCGCTGTATAAATCACAGCTGCTCCACCTATGGCGTCCGCCGATAGCCATCATAAAAACATAGGTTCACTAGAAATTTACAAGCGAAGAAAACTCCACAAAAATTCAGCATTTCTCTATTGAAAACGTTTTGGAGACCAGCTCCATCGTCAGTTCGATAAATCTAGAACACAAATACAGTCAGAAAATTAATAAAGTTTGGAGTCATAATAAAAAGCAACAACAGAAGTTAAAACCTAAATTTACAGGCAAAGGGCAGAATAATAAAGAAATGCCTATCTATTCACAATTTCTAATGGATAAGAACTGTAGGCAGCATTTAAACTAGACTTCTCTTTAAAAATATACAATGATTCCAAAATGCGCAGATCGAAAGCACCAGAACTATAAGCTAAAATCTTAAAGTCAGTGTCGGACACCGGAACGTTGCACTGTTCGGCGTGAGTGCGCACAGCCGAATGAGGAGGGCGCGAGAGTAACTGCCCAGTCCTATAACTCCTCCCTTTATGTTCAACGACCCTAGTGTAAAGGTTACGTGCCGTCATTCCGACGTACGCAGATGCACATCGTGCACAACTAAATTTATAAACTAGGGACGATCGCATGTGAGATGGAAGGATTTCTTTTTACCTGAAAAAACCAACATATTTTGAAATTGTTAACCAGTAAGAATAATGTCCGGACAGTATTTCATAAACAAATCTTTTAATACTCTTGACATAACTTCGGACGCATGGCCGAAGTATGGAAAAGAACAGTAAACCACTTTTCTACTAACAGGCTCTGGAACAACTTCACTGTATCGCTTAGACATGAATTTCTTAATCTGGGTAAACACCAGGCCAGAAGGAAATCTGGTGACGAAACCGACACAGACTTTAAGATTTTAGCTTATAGTTCTGGTGCTTCCGATCTGCGTATTTTGGAATCCTTGTATATTTTTAAAGGGAAGCCTAGTTTAAATGCTGCCTACAGTTCTTATGCATTAGAAATTGTGAATAGATAGGCATTTCTTTATTATTCTGCCCTTTGCCTGCAAATTTAGGTTTTAACTTCTGTTGTTTTTTTTTCTTATGACTCCAAACTTTATTAATTTTCTGACTGCATTTGTGTTCTAGATTTATCGAACTGACGATGTAGCTGGTTTCCGAAACGTTTTCAATAGAGAAATGCGGAATTTTTGTGGAGTTTTCTTCGCTTTTAAATTTCTAGTGAATCTGTGATTCAAGCAATCTAGTGACATTAAAACATTGGTGCTCCACTCTCGATTTTATTTGGGTTTGGGCCATTGAAATGTCATTAAAGTGAGCTTAAGCGTTGTTGATGAATATTGAAACATTTCTCGTCAAAGTCCAATTATTATACATTTAAGCTGGTTACTCGAATGGAGGAAGTGATGTAACTGAAGTTGTAGGAAATAGTAGCTTTAGTTGCGGGATACAAAAGATTTCATATACTATGTGACAATGCAAGAACGTAAAGCTAACCTGGTTATGTATTGATAAGATAGTTTTTTAATCCTGTTTATAATATAGTGAAAAACATCATAGCTAAAATAATCGTACACTTTCTATACAGTTAAAATATTTCAATGTATAAGAAAATTAATTCGATAATACGGAATGAAGCTATTGAGCTTTAATACCATTCAATTTCATCGTCGAACTCTTAACAAAAATATTTTTCAGTCGTGCATTGAGAACGGATGAAAAGTGAATTTTTACTTTAATCTATCGTCGGTCTAAACTGAGTCAAAATGGAATGAGTTGTCCGATCTCAGCCCTGTAATTTACCGACTGCCGTATTAGTCCGTGAACTAAAAGGCGTGAAAGTTTTTATAGCACGATGGCAGTCTGGACTGCCATATATGACTGAACTGCTCTATGAAGAACGTGTCAACTTGAATCACTGCATTTTATGAACGCATGAACGTATCAATATCAGGAGAGATGATAGTGGCAAGAGTGGTCCAATTACCGACGGCATGGAACACGATCGAAGGATGTGTACATTTTGAAACTTTCATAATGTTCAAACTTCAATAACAAATATTCATGCAGTATCCGCGAGTATTCTCGTGTGTTAGGATTGGGAACGCCGTCATGTTACAACGCTTTTCGTCGCTGTTTATTTGCTAGAGGAGATAGACGCATCCGGTTACAGCTAGGATCGGCGTATTTAAATGCAAGCGACTCGTTCAGTGACACAGTAGCGCCGGCTGCACCAGTTGAATTTACTTAATTTCTGTTCATATTGCATCAAGTAGGAGATTAAGACGTGGAAATAAGAAAGTAGCTTTACGAAATCCGTAAAAGACGGAAACAAATGATCGCCAGGAGTCGAACAACTGCCCATGATGTAAGTAACATGAGTCAAAGTATTACAATTATCAACGTGTAATCAAAGGTTTATAATTATTTGAGGGATACATCGATACAATTTCACTTCTCTCGCAAGTCTAGCCGGGTGAAGGTGATTAAATGTGTCCAATAATGAAGTTGATTCGGAAAATTTACAACACAATTGAAGTTCCAAATGTTGCCCAAATTATGCGCTTGACAAATTTCTATCTGCCAAGTTTCAAGTGATAACGCAATATAACGCAATAATGTAACAAGCAGCTTGCCAAATTATTAAGAGGTTAAGAAGAGTGCAAGCATGCTGAGTTAAAATAAGGGTCCATCTATGTGTTAATAATTTATGATGATGTTTCTCAAACTACTACAATTACATTTGTCTAGCGAATCTAATAGTGGTAGATTGGTACACAATATAAAGCCGTAAAGCTAAAAATAAATGGGGGACGGAGAGTCAAAGAGTTGGCAGAGTTGTTCAAAGATGCATGTTGAAGTCGCATTAATTTTCCAATACCTACATGGAAATATTTCGACCGTACAGAAGTATTCGATTAATTTAGCAATGATGTTTTCCACTATATTATAAACAGGATTTAAAAAAACTACCTAATAAATATATAACCAGGTTGAATCTACGCACTTGCATTGTCATATTGTACATGAAATTTTTTGTATTCCGCAACTAAAGCTACTATCTACTACAAATTCAGTTACATCACTTCCTCCATTCGAGTAATCAGCTTCAGTGCAATAATTGTTCCTCCACTATAAATGCTTCGCTATTATCAACAAATCTCATGCTCAAATTAATGAAATGTTAATGGCCCACATAACTGCTCACATCTCTCAACTGCTCACATCCCTTAAGCAACATCCGGTGTCCAGACTCTTGTGTAAAGTGGGACAATGACTATAAATGCGGATAGGCCACCAATGGATCCTGATCTTGATAGTGGGCTTAACCAAGAAGAAAAAATTTATTAACGATAATCTAATTTATATTAACAATTTTCTGGATAAGCTGAAGAACAGTGAAGAAAACTTACCTGCAACGTCACGTGACAGAGTCAATACATTCCGTATAGAACGGGAAGATTGTTTCCCATCATCTGCTGGTGCGAGAAACCGACCGTCTATAGAATTGGCTGGGTCAGCTTCTGCGCTTATCGCTTCTACGGGTGCTATTCCTAAACGGCGTGTACATGAGAAATTAGGGTCTGCTTCTGCAACTCGCGGGGTACAAGAAGGCGACAATAGTACGTCGAGTGACAGAAGCGAGGATATGCTGATAAAAGTATCGTACAACCGCCTTGATCAGCGGGACGAAGTATAAGGAATCACTCACACGGAAGAAGAGCAGAAGATGGTCGGTTATCATAGAATAAATGGATACAAGTAAAGTGCCATCAATTGCTAATTTGAATGAAGAAGGTGGTCAGGCTCTGAAATCTGAATAAGTACCTACTGAGATAGTAATTTTCGTGGTGATAGAGATACGTGGCTGGATGGACTGGATCGCCACCTGGAAGGTAAGACTCGTGATGCTTTCCGATCTTTCCGAGCGATGTTGAGGACTCCTATAGTGATATGAAACAGAAGCTGTGTGAATGGTATGACGATATGAAAGAGGTAAGAAGTGAGAAGTGCAAGATCGATTTTTCTGAGGCACGATATCAGCGTGGTGAATCCATGTACCTTTTTTGTTGTAGACTTTAGCGGCTATTTGAACTTACGTACCCAAAGAAGGAAGTCTAGTCGAGTAGAAGACTGATGGAAAAATGTGTTCGCGCAGCACCGAAAGACTTTCGAGTTATGATAAAATCCCATATAATGTCACAGAAGATACGCAATGAAACAAACTAGTTTGTTTGACGTTGAGACGGAGAAGGAAAAGGGACTGAAGAACAACAGTCAAGAGATTGAAGACAATGTTGTTAATGTACATCGGCCATTACAGAAAAGAGATACCAGTATCCAGCATTGTTCAACGGAAGCAAATTTAGTTCCTTGGAAGCCTTTTGTGAGAAAATCACGAGTGTATGCTGAGACGAATGCTCGTTTCCGGAACACTGTAAGACCTCACTTGGGGCCTGTGGCCGATGATGCAGCGTGTCGGCATTGTGGAAGACGGGGTCATTTTATTAGCAACTGTAGAAAACGTCTGAACCAATGTTTTGCTTGTGTCTCTACAGACCGTTTCCTGCGCATCAGTGCCCAAATTTTCGACGTAATGATGCCGTCACCAACCGACCACAGCAGTCAGCGCCTCAGTTTCTTCATCAACGATCTGCACATGAACAGCGGGATCTCAGTGCGTTCGCAAATTCTCGGTTACCGACGAAAACGGTCCAGTTCCGGCTCAAATGAGGTAGAGCGAGAGTAATTGCAACATGGAGCCTCATCAGGATTTCTGCGAAATAGATACGACGGTTTAGTCGATGAATTGGATGACGGCGATGCACCTTGCCAGCTTGTTCGCCCAGTGGCTGTGGATGAGCCGCGACGTTGTGAAGAATCTCCTAGCGAGCCGCGACTTTGTGAAGAATCTCCCAGTGAGCCGCGACGTAGTGAAGAATCTCCCAGTGAGCCGCGACGTAGTGAAGAATCTCTCAGTGAGCCGCGACGTTGTGAAGAATCTCTCAGTGAGCCGCGACGTTGTGAAACTCTGCTAATGTTGAAATTACCAAGGCGGGGGTGGCAGTTCCCACTCATTCCGATTTAGATTGCCTGATTAAAGATAGTAAACAATTATTTTATTTTGAAGGTTGGGTTCAGGCAGGTAGTCAAAGTGTAGATGGTATTATTTTAGGTGAGTTAGATGCCCCGGCAGTAATTTGTGCTACTTCCAATCATAGGAATAGGAATTCCAAGGGTATGTACATATTGGTAGGGTTTTGACTTTAGTCGAGTTAGAGGTAATTCAAGAGTTATACTCTTGGTAAGAGTATATAACTCTTAAGCAAAAAGTTCCTAATTATTCTCTAGCCTCAATCACGCTAAACAAAACTCTAATTCACTATAAAAATGCATTTCTGCTATTTTTTAAGAATCATAAATAATGCAAAAACACTGACGTTATATCCCTATCGAAATTCGAAGACCTGTCAGCCGCTGGCACACGGACGCCCCAAGTTCTTGTGGCCGGGTAAATTAGAAGCTCTATGTCCGCATTAGGTTCTGGTTGCCGTAGCGAAATAAGCGCCGAAATGGAATCTTGTGAAATTACTCGTCGAGCTTGGGGCGATCGTGGGGCGCGCGTATTTGGTACCTGATACGTTCGGGACAGACACGGCCGAATATGAAAAATGCTTAAAAAAATGCCCCCTCCCTTCCCACCCTTATGG